GCAGTCAGATCAGAAGTTCAAGGTCATCCTCTCTCTGCTAACTGACAAATTTGAGATCCACTTGGGATATATGGTACCCTGTCTCAAAACAACAAAATGGGGTGCCACCTCTGGGAAATCATGGGGTGCAGGACAGTCCCACCACAAGGATCCCAGGTCAGAGAAGAGGACAGAGAAACTTGGTAAGGACAAGCTGGTTAAAAATGACAGCTAGGGGCAGCGATGCAAGCTGGGCACCCAGAGGGGAGGCCACTGCCACAGCTGATGGAACACATGAAGCTTCAGCTGGCCTCTCAGGTGGCTTAGAGATGCCAGCTCTGGATAGGCATGGAAAACCATCCCCAGGCTTCATGAGCATATCTAAGGGCTCAGCATGGAGTCTCTAAGGTAACAGGATGGCAATCAGATACTGGCCCAAGGAAGGACCAGACATATAGTGCCTCTCATCACTTGCATCAGGGCCTGTGAAAGCAGGATGTGATTTCACATTCAGTTGTTCAGGGAAAGTGCCTTTGAACTCTGGACATTAAACAAGTATTTGGGGCATAGGCACAGGGGCTAGCTCTGATTAAGCTTGTATTCAATCTTGTTAGGGAAGCCTGGCCTGGGGAAAATGGGTAATATTTGCTCTGTCTGCCTGAAACACCACCCACTGTTTGGAGGACTTTCTCTTCCCAACTGTAACCAGTTACAGTAGGAGCTGCCACTGACACATTCTTTCTCTTTCAGAAACAAAGGACCTGTGATAGTGCCTGGGTCAATCCTAGTATCTCTTCCACCCAAACTGTGGAGGCACAAGGATCCATCCGCCTGTGACCTGTGATCGACTGTTAGGTAACACAGACGAACCAGGAACTCACATATTCCACAAACCAGCCATACGACTTCTTCTGGTCAATCACAACTGAAAAAGCTAGGGGCAGTTTGAGAAAAGTTTATTTCTGGGACTGGTTGTCTTGGTACACTCACTACAGGATCTTAACTGCAGATCCAGGTCCTTTGCATGCAGTACCCATGGAGGCCAGAGCGGGCGACAAACCCTTGGAACTGGAGTTACAGCTTGCTGTTAGTGGCAGTGTGGATGCTGAGAAGTGAACCTGGGTCCTCTGCAAGAGCAGCCAGTGCTCTTCACTGCTGAGCCGTCTCTCCAGCCCTTGGCTAGATGAATTTTATAATGTTTCATTTGAAAAAGGACCTTGCTTCTGAAAATAGCGTAAGACTACTCTCATGAGAAAATGATGGGTTTCAAAGGAGACACCCACACTTGCTGTTTATAAGACAGATCAGTGTCTAGCTGATGGACTACGTCTAGCCACCACCTGTTTGTACAAAGTAAGTTTACTGCAACAGACTCAATCACAGATGCATTCTCTGTGGTTGACTTTGTGCCATGATAACAGAACCAAAGTTTCAACACAGAGCTGTGCTTAGTAAGGGCTAAAATAGTACTATGTGGGTCTTTACTTATTTATTTATTTTAAAAAATTGCTGCTATCTCCTGCTTCATAAGAATTTAAGAGAGGGAACTGGGTTGGGGAGATGGCTCAGCCGTTAAGAGCATGTACTGCCTGAAGTAGCATTGAGCAGCAACCCTGCCACTGTCACTAAGGAAGACATTATGTGCTTGTGAGGGTTAGCTGTAATAGCTGGCGTAACCTAGAGCCATCTGAAAAGGGAGTCTGAACAAGAGGCTGCCTGCTTTGGATTGCCCTGTGGGCATATCCGTAGGGGTTGTCTTAACCAAGTCAACTGATAGGGGAAGAGCATGCCCAGTGTGGGCAGTGTTATTCTCTAGGCAAGAGATCCTAAACCTTTTAAGAGTGGAGAAACCAAATTGATCACAAGGAGGCAATCAGGGAGCATGCATGTATCCATTTCTCCCCACTATCCACTGGGAATGTAATGTGACCCACTGTTTCAAGTTCTTTCCATGGTGACTTCCCAGGAGCGACGGACTGTCACCTGGACCTGCAATGATGACTTCCCAGGAGCAGTGAACTGTCACCTGGACCTGCAATGGTGACTTCCCAGGAGCAGTGGACTGTCACCTGGACCTGCAATGGTGACTTCCCAGGAGCGACGGACTGTCACCTGGAATTGAAAGCTAAAACAAGTTCTTTTTCTCCTAAATTGTTTATTGTAGGGGGATGTTGCACGAGTACTAGAAACCCAGAGACAGATATTGAGGTTCAACCTGAAGATCAGAAAAGCAAAGCAGTCAATCACTAGAAAGACCCTTACCTTTAGCAGATCTTCAGACGGAAAGAGGAAGATCATCTCCATGAATACTCAGACTCCACACTCCACTGAGTTCCTGTCTCTTCCCCTTTATATTCCTCTCTCTGTCCAGTCATATCGCTCCTGTCTCCACTTCCCTAGTTAGTGCTGGGTGAAGAGTCCAAAAATTAGAATACAGAAATGTAGATTCCAGAATTAAGAATGTAGAAATAAAGAAATACAAAGTTGTAAGCCTAGGAGAATGAGAGCAGGCTGTCGGCAGCTTCCTCAGCAGCTAAAGGATGAACTATTAACAGTGGGTTACTTTGCTTTACAACCGATAGCTCTGTCTGCAAGACTGAAGTGGCTCTCTGCAAACTGAGGGTCAGCTTTTAGATAACCCTCCACCCCTCCACTCAGGACCAGCAATTGATGTGAGATGAGTTAACTTTTAGTTGATGGGATGTACCTGACTTCCTGGTTGTGCGTTTTCCTATACCCTTCCCTGCTATGCGAAACTGGCAAACACTGTCAGGGAGCGCCAGGGTAAAAAATGGACTAAATACAAACATTAGTTTAGAAAAAAAAATCCTCTGTAAATGGAAATTGTAAAAGGCAATTTGTATCTGAGTTTTACCTCGATACTGTAAAAATTCCTTTGTTCATGTCTAATGCTTGCTCCTTGCTATAAAAAGGAGGAGTTCAGAAACCATCCTTTGCCACAGCCTTACAAGTCCATCTCTGGCTTAGTCTCAGCTAGCTGATAAGCTTTTTGTGCCCCATGGATATTTTTTTTTAATTTTTAATTTTTTCCTGGAATAAAGTTTGCTGCTGGCTTACTAAACTTCAGTGGTCTGTCCCTCTCTTTGTGTGACCCTCGTAGACACGACACTGGGATTAAAGGTGAATGACTCTCAAACCCTGGGATTAAAGATGCGAGCCACTACCACCTGGATATGTTTCTGGATTGATCTTGTGTAGCCCAGGGTAGCCTTGAACTCACAGAGATCTGTTTGAGTCTTGGGGTTAAAGGTGTGTGCCACCGCTGGGTATTTTAGCCACAGCAACAGAAATAAACTAGGAAAATACCTTTGGGGAGACAACTAGACTCAACAAGACTCAAGGATTAATTAACAGAAAATGAAAACAAAACAGAACTGGAAACTTCTTAGGCCACCTCACAGATTACAGAATGTGATGTGGCTACTTCAAATAGCAGACTGAAGAGCTGGACACTGGCGCCCTTCAGCACTTGGGAGGCTAAGGCAGGAAAGGGACCACAATTCTGGGGCTAGCCTGGGTTACAGAGCAAGTTCTTGCCTCAAAAAAGAAAAAAGATAAAGACAAGCTTTTGTTTATGTGAGTGCCATTGGGTAGCAGCTAAGCCCACAAGTTTGTATCAAATCCAACTTCAACTTTAGGTTGCCTCCTACCAGTTCTGAGGCTTTGGATATGACGCTTAATTTCTCTGGAGCTGATTCTTAGAGCGCTATGAAGATAAATGAGTCCCTTCTGGCAGTGCTGAGCATTGTATCCCTGCTAGCAGGGCTCATTTGGGGTCAACCGTTATTGTCCTAGAAAGGCTCTTCTGCTTCATTCCACAGGCATTCCACCATCACTTCCCCGTCTGTGTTAACTCTGCTCTTTTCCTTCTCCTTTACTGAGTCATTCATCCCAGTGTCCCGCTCTTTACCATGCGCTAACCTGGCTAGCTAAGCTCGTGATGCTGCAGCAACTGGCCCCATAAATCACTCTGATTCCTACTCATGGGGCTCTAGGCAAAGTGAATGGGAGATTTCTCTAAAGACACCCTGAGAATCACAGCTCCCTGATGCCGTCGCCAGCTCTACAAGCCAAACGTTGTGACTGCCCCTTGCTTGAGGCAGGACCCTCTCTTACAAAGATCTAGGAGCACAGGGAAGGCTCCTGGTGCTGATGGGCCAACAAGGTAGGGCCAGAGCCAAAGAGACCAAAGCTGAAACCCAACGGTGGTGGTCAACTGGGGAAGGCTAGCTAGGGCATCTAAGGGAAGGCACTTTTGGAAACAGAAACTCGGAAACCTTGGACATGGTCTGCTTCTGCCCTCTAGTGGCTGCTGGCTAGCCCAGCAAGTATCAGCTTCTAGACAGTGGGCATTGTTTCTGGACTTCTAAATTATGCTGTTTCTCAATCATGCTTGACCTACAATTCCTTTCCACAAAACATATTTTAATAATAGTAATTTCTAAATATTTCTCAGTGCCCCTTTGAAGTATTTACATTCTATAACAGGTAGGTCTTCTGTGTGAACACACAACAGAAACACAACTCAAATCTGTTTATGTAAGACAGGACACTCACTGAGCCCCAGACAGCAGAAGAAGGGGTGTATGTGGGTCCCTGAAGGGTTGCCTCTGGGACTGGATCCTGGCCTAGACTCCAGACTTTTCACAAATGCTTAGCGCCTCATAGGACCTGTGCCCACAGAAATTCAAAATGCAGACTCTTGGTCCTGTGCAAAATTCCAAAGCTCTGAGGATTTCCGGTTCAGAACACAAACATGGACACATACCCCCTGCAGCCCAGGGGCAGGGACCTGTGACTGCAGTTTCTCCTAAGAAGTCAAAGTGGCCCTGTTTCCAGAAAGGAAGGGAGGTGGCAGGCCTGCCTTACATGAGACACCTTGCCTTTCAGACCCATCTGCCAAATCTATCTAAAGTTTGGACAGTTTTCACAGTTCAAACCAGCATGTTTACAGGAGTGATGACATCACAGAACCAGGGTTCCAGAAGGCTGAGGTGACCAAGAACACGTGCCTTCTTGAGAGGAAAGAGAACCAAGAGCCAGGTGATGGGGCTGGAAAGTGCTTGGTGAGGAAGAGGAGGCACTTGCCACAAACCACCTTGTCCTGTAGATCTTCCCAAAGGCCCTGGAGCTAGGGTCAGAGAGGTAGGTAGGCTTGAAAGCTGGATAGGGCCACGTGCTGGAACCACTGCCACCTTGAGGGAAATCCCTGAGGGGATTTAATGGACCAAGGCAGACCTTTCAGCTTTGAGAAACCTGTGAGGGCCATTCTGAGTCTGAATGGGGAGGGCTGCATGGCACATCTGTCAGTTAAACAGAGATCTGCTATTTACCTGAAATCCTAATTCAACAGGGCCATTTGTTCTATTTGCAACAATAGAGTGGGTTAGTGAGAACCACCAAAGGATGTCCCGAGTGCAAGCTGTGTAACAAAGACAGAACCAGAAACCAGGAAGCAAGTCAGGCCACCCGAGAAGCCATCATGCTCTGCGGATGCTGAGGGAAGGCGGAGGGATCCTGGCCTCTACCCTTAGCATCACACACCTGGTTTAAAGGGAAAAAGACACACATCCGATGATGGGACCAGCCCCCGTGTGCTCTCATGGGATGAGAATTTTGAAGGAGAGAATCCAGTTATTTTACAGATATTCCCTTCTTCATTTTTTTTCATTATTAGACCCAGGCTTCCCATCCTTGGCCAGAACACCTCATAAGAGTTTCTGTGTCTAGAGGTACAGAGAGTCCCTTTGTCCCTCACTGACAATGTTAATTTTAGTTGCAAGGTCAAAACACTGTCTGGGTTGTGCTAAGCAATATGGGAAGGATCAAGACCATGTATATAAGCTCTGACCTTTCTACAGCTTCCACCACCTCAGACTTGGTGGGTACCCATGCCAATTCTTGTTCAAACCAATCATTATGCCTACACTATGTTCCTATTGTAGCCCAGAAGTTTGCCACATTCCTAGGAGTCCTGGTTCCACTTTGTAAGGAACAAGAAACAAAGTCTTGGGTGTTTATTTTTTTTCTGAATCATTACATCATTCTTATTGGATGGTTATTAATAATTATAATTATTAATCTTAATTAATAATAATTAATTATCTTAATTTAATTAATAATCTTAATTTCACACACATGGGGTCCAGAGAGGTAAGTTTGTTGTTCAAGTCACATAGCAGTCCAGCCTTTGATAGCTGGCAGTGGGTGGGAATTTAGAGTACTTGATCTTCAAATGCACACACACACACACACACACACACAGCATTAAATTGCAGGATATTTCTATAACAAGATCACTTTTACTTGCTTTCTGATAAGCACCTTGAACAGAAACAAACCAATATAACCTACAAGTAGCTCACCAGGAACTGAGCAAGGCATGGTTTGCAGTGGTGAAGGTCTTGTTTCTTGTGTCTGCCAGTATGGGCTGGGGCGATTGGCACCCCAGTGTTCCAGCCCTTCCTCTAAGGCACATGCTCAAACACTCACCACAAATGCTGGTGAAACATAATCTGCTCTACTCGTCTTTGCCAACCTCACCTGGTGTGGGAGGTCTTTCTGTCTATTTGTTGCTTTTATTGGTTAATGAATAAAGAACTGCTTTGAGCCTATAGCAGAGCAGGGCAGGACAGAGCAGAGCTAGACAGGGAAGACTGAACTGAATGCTGGGAAAAGAAGGGTGGAGTCAGAGAGATGCCATGGAGCCACTGCCAGAGTAAGACATACTGAAACTTTAGCTGGTAAGCCACAGTCATGTGGTGATATACAGACTAATAGAAATGGGTTAAATTAATATAAGAGTTAGCCAATAAGAAGCTAGAACTAATGGGCCAAGCAATGATTTAATTAATACAATTTCTGTGTGATTATTTTGGGTCTAAGCTAGTCAGGTGTCCGGGAACCAACAAGCGGTCCTCCTCCAACAAACTGGTGCCCACGTGGCCAACTAAAATCCACTTAAAACCTGAGTTAGAAAAGAAATTCTAAACACAAAAATACAGAGTTTAACACAGCTTCTTGCTGTTTGCTGGTGGCATGCGGCAGCTCCTTTAAGAGAGGTTTTCCTGATTCAGTGGTAGCAAAAGAAAAATAGCTGCGCTGTTTTGAAATGCTGGCTTTCTGGGCCAGCCACACTGCCAGTGTGAACTCTAACTCTTTCTCTGGAGGTTCAGCTATGGAGCATTTAAATGGGGTTTATGAGAAGACTGCTGCAGCTTGCTTAATGGTGACATGGACTGACTGTGTACCTGAGAATGGGGCTGTGTGCATGACTCTCAGAGGCACAAGTAGCTCCAACATGCTGGACTGGGAGGGGCAAGCACACAGTACTGTATTTAACCTAGTAATGCTGCAACTTAAGTTTTAAGAAGTGCTCAGCATTTTAAAAAGCACTCTTGGACTGTAAAGAGTTACAGATATGCAATAAAGACAAATCCAGATGAGCCACAGTGTTGGATAAATGTACGTAGGCTTGGAAGAGAGAAAAAAAGAGTATAGAGAGTCATAAAATAAAGTTACTGCTAAAAAAAAAGGGTAAAACCTTTAAAGAGACAGAGTACAGATAGTTATAAATTAAAAGGAGTAAAAAAAATAAGCCACATAAAATTGGAAAATGTGCAGAGTCTGTATATTATTGTGTTATCTTTAAATTTTTTGATTGTGAAGGAGCTAACTACAGAGAGATATTTTATTGTATGGGCTGCTAAGCTAAACCAACATGTATATTATAAAGGTATCATGATTTCCAAATTTGGGTCTAAGGATATGTTGCTTTGGAAAAGAGGTTCTTCTCTTGTTTCCATAGAGGATGAGAACCTGTGGATTGCTTCCAGACTGGTATGGTTTGATGGGACAAGACCCCCCCAAATGTCATTGTGAACACCCCCAAAGATTACTACACCCAACAATCAGAAGAAAGCAGTGTGGAGAAAACTATGCCCATATTCTTAAATATTGTCTATAAATGTTTACATTTAAAGGGGGATGATATAGATATGAATAATTTGCATTGGTATGGTCTTGGTTTATTGATACAAATTTAAGGTCAGTTTTGTTATATATATATATATATTTCTCATCTTGATTAAGGTATTGTGTTTATGTAGCTCATTTAAAAATGTAATGTATAATTGAGAAATATAAGTTAATAGACATTCATCTATAATAGTCAAGCTTGTAGTCATGTTAGTTAGATTTTCTAGATGTATATAGATATATTTCAGTTAGATAGGTATTCTTCAAATCTTTCAGAGACCTTCAGAATATGGCATTTAAAATGTTTTAATAACTTAGACCTTTTCATGATAATGGAACACATCTGCTTCTGGCAGCAACAATTACTTCAAGAGGAAGATGGGCATCAAAGAGGCTCCTTATAGAGTTGGTTAGCCATTTGGGCAAGAAACTGCTTTTGCCTGAACTGCTTAACTGGACATGCAGGACCCACAAAGAAATGACTGTTGAACTTGCCTAAAGGTGAGATGGTCCTTTGGGATTCCTGCTTCATAAAAGATTCTACTAGATATTCTGCAGGATACAGAAGAAAGTGACTGACAAACTGCCAATATAGGCAGAACTGTCTTTGAAATTTCCTGCTTCATGGAAAAGTCTTCTGGATACCATGGTCCTGTAGGCTGAAGATGGATGCCCAATGATACAGAAGAACTTTGGGTGACTGTCCAGGTAGCAAGAAGTCTCTGTCAATTTTAGAGTTTTGGAAGTTGTTTATAGTGCACTTGCTGTTTACTGAGGTAATATTATATCCTTCTGGAGTCTCTGATGGTGTCGAAGAATTTATAGTTATAGTTTCCCTCAGTTGTAATAAAAGATAAAATAGATGTAAATATTTTAACTGTAATTCTTGCTTGATACCTGTTTTGTTATATGTAATTTTACTATGTTAAAGTTAAAGCCTTCCTTTTTGTTTAAACAGAAAAGGGAAAATGATGTGGGAGGTCTTTTTGTCTATGTGTTGCTTTTATTGGTTAATGAATAAAGAACTGCTTTGAGCCTATAGCAGAGCAGGGCAGGACAGAGCAGAGCTAGACAGGGAAGACTGAACTGAATGCTGGGAAAAGAAGGGTGGAGTCAGAGAGATGCCATGGAGCCACTGTCAGAGTCAGACATACAGAAACTTTAGCTGGTAAGTCACAGCCACGTGGTGATATAAAGATTAATAGAAATGGGTTAAATTAATATAAGAGTTAGCCAAGCAGTGATTTAATTAATACAGTTTCTGTGTGATTATCTTGGGTCTAAGCTAGCCAGGTGTTCGGGAACCAACAAGCAGCCCTCCTCCAACACTCACCCCCCATCCTGGCACCCAATGCTGCCTATGCCTAAATATCCACTACAGGAGGCCAGATAAAGCCAGAGTGGTCTTGAATTTGAGCTGTTGAATATGGGCAATGGGTATATGAAGGACCATGAGATTACTCTCTCTCTCCTTTTGTGTTTCAATTTTCTGTGACCAAAAATACGATATGAATAAAAAATGAGCTGAGTGTGGTAGCTCTTGCTGTGACACCAAGGCTCTGGAATCAGAGGCAGGAGGATTGCTGATGCCAGCCTGGTTGTATACTGAGTTCCAGGATAGGTTCGGGCTGTAAAGTGAGGTTGGGGTTGGGGGGGGGGCAGGCACTGGAACTTACCAGGCACTGAGCATCAAGTGAGCAGACAAATGTGGTTTCTCTCTCCAGATCCCTGGCTCTCAGAGACTGGCAGGCACTGTGCTCCTCTGGAGGACCATGAAGGTGCTGCTCGTGTGCATGGCAAGCTACCTTCTGGTGGTGAATGGCGGAGACATCATCAATCGCTGTGTCTTGGCCAAGATGCTGCATCAGGAGGACTTGGATGGGTTCGAGGGCTACTCCCTGCCCGACTGTGAGTGCTGCGGTCTCATCTCTCCACCCCTCCTCTAGTTTTCTTATCCACTTTCCTTTCTTTGCCATTTGTCTTTCGAAGTCAAGCTCAAAGGACAACCTCCCCGCATCGCAAAGCCTTTCCCAACATGCCACATTTAAATCAATAACTACTAACTGAGCACTTACTATGCACTACTGTGTTAGGTGTAAACGGAATTCTTTCCCTCACCGTGATTGCAGTCTAGGAAGGCAAGAGCAGCAATAAGCACACACACGGACAGAAAGTATTGGTTGCGGTCAAAATGCATTATGTCTGTGATTCCCAGACAAGAGGATTGTTATGAGGCCAACCAGAGTTAGACAGCATGTTCTTGTCTCAGACAAACAGACAAAAAGGTGTAAGGGGTCAGCAGATGGCTCAGCAGGCAAAAGCAATTGCCTTCTAAGCCTGACAGCTTCAGTTTGATCTCCAAAACTGACATTTCTTTTTTAAAGTGGGAGCTGGAGAAATGGCTCAGTAGTTAAGAGCATGTTCTGCTCCTCCAGAAGACCTGAGTTTGAGTCCCAGCACCCATGTCAAACAGCTTACAACCATGTGCAACTCCATCTCCAGGGGACCAGATACCTCCGTCCTCTATGGGCACCCTAAAGTCACATGTGCGTGCGCGCACACACACACATACACACAGACATGTGCTCACACATAATTAAAACTTAATCTCCCCCCGCCCCACACCCATAATCCCAGCTCCATGGTGAAATGGGTGGCAGAGAAAGGGTGAGCAGCCTAAAGCTCACAGGCCAGCTAGCGCACAGTGCACTGCACAGACAAGAAGGGCCCTGCCCCAATAGGGCAAAGGGGAGAACTGACTCTCAAACGTTGTCTTCTGAGTTCAGTATGCATTCTCATTCTCTCTCTGGCTCTCTGTCTCAGCCTCTCAGCCTGTCTGTCTCTTTTTCCCTCTCCCTTCCCCCCCACACACTTAGAAAAAAACATTAAAACTAAATAAATACACAAAGGTAAGTGTTGAAATGAGGAAGTTAGAGGACTCTGAGGAAGTGACACTGGGTAGTGTTGAATGAAATGACCCAATATTTAGAGGAAAGGCATTCCAGGCCAAAGGAAAAGCCAGTGCAAAGGCTTCATCCATGGTCCTGCAGGGGAGGGATCTCTCCTGTCTACCTGAAATTTGTACACACCTGCCTTACAGCACTTTCACCACATACCCTGCTGTGTGCGTGTCTTAAGCCCACACTTTTGTTTTATCTGTACTAGGCCCCTTGAAGTCAACACCAGTCTATTGGGCTGTGCCTAGTTCCTGGCACACAGTAGGTACTCAGCAAGTGCAGAAAACATAAGTGGGTGGGAAGATGGGGGAGCTATACAAATGGACAGGGAAACGGACTGAAGGAAGGGTGACGCCTGTGGCTATTTCTAGCTCTTCAGGACTATCTAGCTCTTGGGCCCTGTTCTGTCTCCTGATTCCTTGCCTCTCCCTGCTTTTTTTTTTTCAGTCAACTTCTTCCCACTCAGTTTGTAGCCTTCCTTTAGGAAGCCTACAAAAGTTCGAGCCTCTTCTCTTTTTTCTAAGGGCTGTGCTTGGCTTTTGTGGAAAGCAGCTTCAACGTATCAAAGGTGAACGAAAATGTAGATGGCAGCTTCGACTATGGCATCTTCCAGATCAACAGTCATTACTGGTGCAATGACTACCAGAGTCACTCAGAGAACTTCTGCCACATGGACTGTCAAGGTCTGGCTGGGAGCCCTAGGGTGGGAGAGGTGAGAGAGGAGACCAGGCTCTACTTACAGGCACAGCCTAGGCATGTCTTTGCAGGCATGGTTTAAAGAACAAGAAATCCCTTGACTGAGCACAGGAAAAGCCCCAAGTCTTAATGCCCTATCCTTGCATGAGGTCTGGAGGGTCCCTTGAGGAGGATCCAGAAAGACTCTTAATGGATGGGAATGGCATTGCAGCCATACTGATTTTCAACATGTTATATATTGAGCAGGTCATATGCATAACTCATTTTTTATCCACCCTTCCATATAGTAGAAACTGTTTATGATCTTTGCATGTTTTCTAGATGAGCAAATTCAGGCTCAGAGAACTGAGCCAAGTATGTTGTCACTAGTACCACCTGCTTGGAAGGCTGGGGCAGGAGGATTATTGGAGACCAGGAATCCAAGGCTGACCTGGGGCCATACAGTGAGATGCTGTCTGAAGGAGGAAATGAGAGAGAAAGACAGGGAAGGAAGGAAGGAAGGAGGGAAGGAAGGAAGGAGGGAGGGAGGCAGTCTTGAAATTAATTTGCTTTGTGGCCTTGAATACTCAGGTATAACCATTCACTTGTTGCCAGGCTAATGACCAATCGAAGGTCAGGTACAAATTTCTTGCCTCAAAGCTAATCCAGGAGGCTTGACAGGGCCAGTGACTCCTTCCTACCCTAGAACTCCTGGGCTTCTCACCTACAGACCACCCCCTTATAAGAGGGACTTTGTCTTCATCTGTGTGTGATCTGTTTTCACAACCCTTTCTCCCAGAAATCCTGAAAACTGTGGGTGAGCCATTACCTAACCCATCTAGAGAAATAGCTATGGACAGGTTCAAATCTCCTCCTGGCCCCACTTCCCCTCTCTGGCAGCCACTGTAGCAGTATCTAAATGTGTCCCTAGGATGGAGGTCTTGCCTAATCCGGAAGTGCTCAGGCCCTAGGTTGACAAGGCCTAGCAGAGACAGTGTCTGTCTGGTCTTCGGGATTAGCCTTTAGACACATCACAGGTGACCTCCTCTTTCTTTTCAGAACTATTAAATCCCAACCTCCTTTCATCTATCCACTGTGCCAAGAAGATTGTGTCTGGAGCAGGAGGGATGAAAAACTGGTGAGGAGGACGGGTGAGACTGAGTTAGTGGGCATATGACAGAGCAAGGGGCAGTGAACAGGGACTTGGGGGCAATCCCTTACAGAGGTTTAGAAAAATATGGTGCTAGAGAGATTTCTTGGTGGTTAATACCACTGGCTGCTCTTTCAGAGGACTCTGGTTCAATTCCTAGCACCCACAGGATAGATCACAGGCATCAGCAACTCCAGTCCTAGGGGAACCAATACCATCTTCTGGCCTCCACTGGCATTGCATGTAAGTGGTACAGAGACATACACCCAGGCAAACACTCTCAAATACAAAACAAAAATAAAAATTTCAAAAAATTTAAAAAGGAAAAAGATGGGGTAGTGGATGATCTTAGTGCTCTTTGTCATAACACCTGAGTTTGGTTCTTACTCTGATATTGAATTAATAATCTTTTTTCGTTTTTGTTTTTCAAGACAGGGTTTCTCTGTGAAACAGCTCTGGCTGTCTTGGGATTCATTCTGTAGATTAGAATAGCCTTAAACTCACAGAGATTCACCTGCCTCTGCCTCCCAAGATCTGGGATTAAAGGCGAGTGCTGCCACCACCGTCCTGCAGCAAATTTGATGGTAATAAGACAAACCAACTTGAGTTAGCAGAGGGAAACTTACTTGCTCCTATTATTTAGATACTTTGTTACTTATTTTTAATTTGTGTATGTGTGGTATGCACTTCTGCATACATGCATGTGGCAGCCTGATGTTGATGGCAGGATCTTTCTGAATCTCTCTTCACCTCATTCACAGAGGCAGAGTCTCTGAATTGTGCCCAGAGCTCACAGATTTGGCTAGTCTGGCTAACCAGTTGCTTCAGGAATTTCCTGTCTCAGCCTTCTGAACATTGGAACTTGAGGCAGACGAACCTACCTGGCACTTATATGGGTTTTGGGGGGAAATCCAATTCTGGTGTGTATGCTGAAGTTCACTTTGTGAGATGGTCTCTTATTGCGCCCATTCAAGGGACACAACAGGACCTCAGGAAAAGGTTGAAACCTCAGGAGAGACTGGAAGACAGGCAGAGGCGTCCCATGTGCTTCCATTGCACATGCTAGTTACCAGTCTCTGCAGACCAGCATCCTCTGCTCTCCAACCCACAATACACAATACAGCATCCCAAGTCTGTAACTTAAAGTCCTAAGGGATCGGTTAGTCCTAGCCAAAGTTCCTGAGACAGCGACTCTAATGGGTTCAATATGAACCAGTGTTTTCTCATTGATCCAGTCAGCTGAAAGCATAGCAAAGTTGTAGTACAAATGTGTCTCCCTCTCATAATAAACAACATTTCCTAGGTTAAAAGGGGCCCTTTAGATGACAGATAACTTCAAAGTTTTCAGCTCCTCAAAGCTGAATACATCAGGGACCACTTGATCTTTTCGGTGCTTCAAACCGGACATAGAACCAATACAAACTTTCCCATATCCAGGGATTGATAAGAATGAGGAATTATGAGTGCTGCATGCTCAAAACAAGATCCAGGAAGGAAAATTAATGATTATTGGGGCTGATCTTTTTTGAAGAGGAGGCTCAAAGATTGCAACTAGAATTTTTTTCTAATTAATTCTAAATCCTATGGAATAGTAACACCCACCTTCAAAGGGAAATGAAGAATTAAAAATGTGGACGCTGCCGGGCGCTGGTGGCGCATGCCTTTAATCCCAGCACTTGGGAGACAGAGCCAGGTGGATCTCTGAGTTTCAGGCCAGGCTGGTCTACAAAGTAAGTTCCAGGACAGTAAGGGCTACACAGAAAAATCCTGTCTTGAAAAACCAAAAAAAAAATGTGGATGCTTATAAATGAGGGGAGAGGGCAAGGCCCAGGGTGAGGGGACCTCAAAGAAGAATCAGAAAGGAAGCCAAGTTAGGAATGAAGGGGCCTCTGAGTGTTGCTCTGCAGGGAAGACTCCGTAATACTAGGGTAGGTGTGTGGAGAAGCAGCAATTTCACAGAGAGAAAAAGACCTTATCTTTTTACTCCACAGGGTACAGTGGAGAATGCACTGTTCAGGACGGCCGCTCTTACACTGGCTTACAGGATGCCATCTGTGAGGAACCGGGGTGCAGATCCCCTGGGGAGTCACTCCAGGACCCCTGTACTTCTTGCAGGTTCTTCACTACTTCACCTTCTTGCCTTCACCTAATGTTATTTTTTTCTCTTCCCACTCACAAGTAAAACTGACCAGAGTCCCAGGGAAACACGTCTTACCTTGGCTTCCTGCTTGTGTTCATCCAGACCCAGTACCTTTGTTCCTATCATTTGCAAACCAAGATGTCAAATAAACACAATTTTTTTAACATTTATTAAAGTGTACTCTGAGCAAAGAATGTGTTTATTTAGTTATTAATTCCACTTACATTGGAGTACCTACTACTTTAAGAATGTTCTAGGCATGAGAAGGAAGAAAACAAATATATCTGTTGCTCTTTAGGGATTCATAATTAGGTTGGTGAAGGAGAGACAACCACAAATATTACAGTGGGGGATAAAATGTTTACTAAAGTCTATGCTCACTGGTTAGAAACAGTATCAAGCTATTAGTAATCACACCCAGACGACTATTCTTAAAGGTTAATAGAAGATTCAGATATAGGTAGCCAGTGGGGCTGAGGATCTGGCATTGAAATGGAGAAAATGGTACTAAGATAAACCTATGGTAATAGGTGCCAATGATTTGGAGAGAATGAATGAGAGTCTAGATTATTTTTTTAAAAAGTTAATAATAAAAAAAAGTAGAAGAGGTCCAGCAAATTGGCTCAGTAGGCAAGAGGGCTTGTTGCCAAGCCCGTTGACCTGAGTCCAACCCCGGGAACCTACATGGTAGAAGGACAAAACTGATTCCTGGAAGTCGTCTTGACCTACACACCTGTGACATGGCATGTGGGTACACACACAGACACACACAGACACATACACACATGAAAGCTTCTCTGGATAGGATCTGATTGGTTTGGCAGGAGCAGATATGGAGTATAATTTGCTTTACAACACGGCAAAAGGCAGAAAAGGGACGGTTGAGGGACTTTTCTGCACAGAGCTACTACAAGTGGTGTCTAAACTGGAATGTTATCATGGGTCACTTATTCTTCTACCCTGAGCCTAAATACATCTACAAATGATCTGACTGTTCGTCAGATTCTTAACTGCTATATTTCACAAGGAAGTAAGCAGTAACTCACCCAGAAGAGCCCCATATTAGATGCTTGTCTTGCTGCTGTGCCCAGATACCTGGAAAACCAAGAGTTTTGTGTTTTATTTTTTTGGCTCACAGTTTGAGGGTCCAGGCCATCATGGCTGCAATGGCAGCAGGGGTGTGAGACATTTGGTCACATGGCATCTGCAGTGAGGAAGCAGAAGGAGACGAATGTTCATGCTCAGCTAGCTCGCTTTCTTCTTTTTGATTGGTCCAGAACACCGGTCGAAAGGATAGTGCCACCCCCTTTCAAGTAGGTCTTCCTTCCTCAGTTAAACCTTCCTGGAAATACCCTCCCAGACACACCCAGTGCTGTGTTTCCACGGTGGTCCTAAATCTAGTCAAGCTGACAAGGATTAATCATCACAAATTCAAATTTGGTTTCAATACTTGGCTAAAAATATCATGACTGACATGAGAAGCAGCATGGTGGCGGGTGGGCCAGGCCAGGCTGCTGGGAGAAGTGTGAGCAGCACAGAGGGCTGTAACTATAGCAGTGGCCTCCAAAAATTATCTGGCCATGAGAGCCTCAGCCTTAGCTCCTCCTGCACCTGGAGGAATGACCATCTGAGCCTTGGGCTTAAAGGCACTTGGAGGAACAATTACTAAAGGTTCTGCTCTGCCTACATAAGAAAGAGCGATCAAGGGAATCACAGCCCTCAACTACACCAATTGGAGAAAAGAGAGCCCCCTGAAACAAGGCTCCACCTGTTCTGATTGGAGGAAAAGGTGGGTAGGCAACAGGGTAAGAATACTTTCAACAGCATAAAGAGCAACACAGCCCCACCAGAAACTAGTGGGCCTACAACAGCAAGACCTGAGCATCCCAAAGCAGATGAAGCAGAAGAAAATGACATAAAAATAACTTTATGAAGATGATTGAGGCCCTTAAAGAGGAAATGAAAAATTACCTTAAAGGAGAAAAAGACAACTAAAAATTGGAAGAAATAACAAATCTCTTAAAGAAAACCAAGAAAAAGCAATCAAACAGAAATGAAAAGAAATGGTTCAAGACTTAAAAGCTGAAATAGAGGCAATGTAAAAAAAAAACGAGGGAAATCTGTAAATGGAAAATCTGAGTAAACGATCAGGAACTACAGATGCAAGCATAAATAACAATACAAGAGATGGAAGAGAGAATCTCAGGTGTTGAAGATGTGATAGAGGAAATAGCTTCACCAGTCAAAGAAAATGTTAAAACCAAGAAATTCTTAAGACAAATTATTCAGGAAATCTGGGATACCATGAAAAGACCAAACCTAAGAACAATAGGAACCGAAGAAGAAGCCCAGCTCATAGGCACAGAAAACATATTTAACCAAATCATAGAAGAAAACTTTTCCAACCTAAAGAAGGACATACCTATAAAAACAAAAGAAGCTTACAGAGCAACAAATAGACCAGACCAAAAAGGAAAGTCCCCTCACCAGATGATAATCCAAACACTAGAGTTTTCAAGTGTGCTGTCAAGTCGCTAGTGGGAGCTTTCTCCACTTTCTTTATGTAGGCACTTAGTGCTATGAACTTTCCTCTTAGCACCGCTTTCATAGTGTCCCATAGGTTTGGGTACATTGTGCCTTCATTTTTGTTGAATTCTAGGAAGTCTTTAATTTCTTTATTTCTTCCTTGACACGGGGGTGGTTCAATAGAACACTGTTTAATTTCTATGTGTCTGTGGGCTTTCTGAAATTAGTGTTCCTGGTGATCCAATAAGATACAGGGGAGTATTCCAATTTTTTTGTGTCTGTTGAGGTTTGCTTTGTTACTCAGTATGTGGTCAGTTTTAGAGAAGGTTCCATGAGGTGCTGAGAAGAAGGTATATTCTTTTGTGTTTGGGTGGAATGTTCTGTAAATGCCTGTTAATTCCATTTGAAATTTGTTAGTTCTCTTATTTCTTTGTTAGGTTTCTGTCTGGTTGACCTGTCCATTGGGTAGAGTGGGGTGTTGAAGTCTCCTACTATTAGTGTGTGGGGTTTGATGTGCGATTTAAGCTTTAGTAATGTTTCTTTTACATATGTGGATGCTCTTGTATTTGGGGCATAGATGTTCAGGATTGAGACTTCATCTTGATGAAGTGTGGCGCACTGCTTGACCAGCAAGCAAGAATGACCACGAGTTGAGGATTCTTCTCTGATCACACTTTATTGGAGCCTCTTGGTTGAAGGGAGAGCAGGAAGCGAGAGAGAGCAAAAGTCAAGCGGCAGTTGCTTTTCTAGGGTGGAGGTACTGTCCTGATTGGTGAATACCATTCTGCTGATGCTCGGGGCTTCAGGATTGGCTAGGGAACAAGGCTCAATTGCACATGTACAAGCAAAGGGCGCTCAGCCCCACCCAGCACTGCCAAAGAAGGATTTGTTTACCTCCAAGCTGCAGGACCGCCAGCCACCATATTGTAATGGCGATATCTGGATAGCTCCTTACAATGAAGAATGAGTATAAAGTGTCCTCCATCTCTTTTGATTGATTTTAGTTTGAAGACTATTTTGTTAGATATTTGGATAGCTACACCCGCTTGTTTCTTAGGTCCATTTGATTGGAAAATCTCTTCCCAACCCTTTACTCAGAGGTAATGTCTGTCTTTAAAGTTGAGGTGTGTTTCTTGTATACAGTGGAAGGCTGGATCCTTCTTTTATATCCATTCTCTTAGCCTGTGTCTTTTTATAAGTGAATTGAGTCCATTGATATTAAGATATTAATGATAGTGATAGTTAATTCCTGTTATTTTTCTGTGGTAGTGTGTGTGTTTTCCTTCTTTGGGTTTTGTTGGTGTGAGGTTATCTGTTGCCTGTGTTTTTGTGGGTGCAGTTAGCTTCCTTGGATTGGGGTTTTCTTTCTAGTACTTTCTGTAGTCTGGGTTTGTAGATAGGTATTGTTTAAATCTGGTTTGCTATGAAATATCTTATTTTCTCCATTAATGGTGATTGAAAGTTTTGCTGGGTATAATAGTCTGGGCTTGCATCCGTGGTCTCTTAGTGTCTGCAGCACATCTGCCCAGGACCTTCTGGCTTTCATGGTTTTCATTAAGAAGTCAGGTGTAACTCCGAAAGCAATCTATAGATTCAGTGCAATCCCCATCAAAATCCCAACACAATTCTTCACAGACATTGAAAGAATAATACTCAACTTCATATGGAAAAACAGAAAACCCAGAATAGCCAAAACAATCTTGTACAATAAAGGAACTTCTGGAGGCATCACTATCCCTAACATCAAGCTCTATTATAGAGCTACAGTAATGAAAACAGCCTGGTAATAGCATAAAAACGGACAGGTTGACCAATGGAATCAAATTGAAGACGCAGAAATTAATCCACACACCTATGAACAGCTGATTTTTGAGAAAGAAGCCATACAATGGAAAAAAGAAAGGCTCTTCAACAAATGGTGCTGGCATAACTGGATGTCAACATGTAGAAGAATGAAAATAGATCCATATTTATCCCCATGCACAAAACTCAAGTCCAAATGGATTAAAGACCTCAATACAAATATGATCACACTGAACCTGATAGAAGAGAAAGTGGAAAGTAGCCTTCAATGCATAGGCACAGGAGACCCCTTCCTAAATAGAACACCAGTAGCACAGACACTGAGAACACCAATAAATAAATGGTACCTCCTGAAACTGAAAAGCTTCTATAAAGCAAAGGACAGTCAATAAGACAAAAGACAGTTACTGAATGGGAAAAAATCTTCACCAACCCCACATAAGACAGTGGACTAATCTCCAAAATATATAAAGAACTCAAGAATTTAGGCATCAAAATTCCAAATAAACCAATTAAAAATGGGGTACAGAACAAAACAGAGAATTCTCAACAGAAGAATCTCAAATGGCCGGAAGACACTTAAGAAAATGTTCAACATCCTTAGCCATTAGGGAAATGCAAATCCAAACAACTCTGATATAACATCTTACACTAGTTAGAATGACTAAAATCAAAAACACCTAGGATAGTTTATGCTGGAGAGGATGTGGAGTAAGGGGAACACTCATCCATTGCTGGTGGGAGAGCAAACTTGTACAACCACTTTGGAAATCAGTATGGTGGTTTCTCAGAAAATTGGGAATCAGCCTATCTCAGGACTCAGCAATACCACTCTTGGGCA